TTCGTCTGACTGGTATTGCTACTGATAGAATTATGGCGGAGATTGTGAAAAGTGAAAAGTCGCCGACTTTTCTACGGTGTTCTAGTAGGGTCGTAGGCTCAGTGAGTATGTCATCACTCACCATGCAAATGGTGTTTCTATGGATGGAAGCAGCTTTTGCAATGGATCAGGCGTGATTTCTCCATGATAGAGTATTGCTGATGGACATACCTGTCTTGGTGGGAATGGTGGAACCAGGCATTGCTATATCAGGGGTCCATACTGAGTTTGACCTTTCTAGAGAAAATATAAGTTTTAGTTTTGGTGACTTTGAATTCAACTCACTCACTTCTCTAGAACACCGTAGAAAAGTTGGCGATCTGGCTCTATTTTATAGATATTTTCATGGACAATGCTCTTCTGAAATATCAACAATTGTACCTCCCTTGGAAGTCTTCGCGAGATTAACCAGTCTAGTTGAAGCTTCGCACCCCTTCGTGGTCACTTTGGAGACCTGCAGAACATCTCTCTCCAGAGACTCGTTTATCCAACGAACAGCGAGGCCCTGGAACTCTTTGCCAAGGGAGGTGTTCCCCGAGCCATATAACCTCCAGAAATTCAAGAAGAACACCAATTCCTACCTTATTTTCCCCGGTTCTCACGATGTTCTCTGAACATTACGGGATATCCCTTCTCGTGGGAACCAGAACATGAAAAAATATGTATCTCACTGCTCTTTTTTGCAAAATGAAAATCATGTTGGATGAAAATTGACTACACGATGCCCAAAAACATATTCCATATCTAAGATGAGAATCGATTAGGACAATGTACACCTTCTTGGCCATATCTCTACTAAATTCCCAAGAAGTGGTTCTCACTGCAAAACAACCGGAGGCTAGCTTTTTTCTAAATTTTTCAATATGATCTGCATAGGTACTTCATTTCATCATCAATATATAATCCTAGAAATTCAGTTGCTGTCTTCAAATCTATTACTTGATCATCAATATGAAATTCATCTCGTAGATCAAAATTGAAAATTAGGATGTTAGTATTCCATATATTGAACGAGAACATATTGTTGCATCTCAGAACTATTTCGATTGTGCCAGTGTAGTTTCATCTGCAAATTGTGTGAATATTCCAATGATATCAATCAAGGCTAAATCATTATTGAATAACAAAAAGTAGATTGGGCCAAGTACGGAACCTTGTGGTACACCCCATTTAACATTCAATTGATTTGATACTCCATTCTGGATAGATTCTCTCTGAATTCTTCCGGATAATTTCGACTCAAACAACTGAAGAACGATGTCTCTGAAACCATAGCCTCCTAATTTTTGCAGCACAATATTGTGATTGAAGCAGTCGAAGGTTAAAGTCAGTTCATAAAGAATTGCTGCACTAGCTTCCCTATCATTGAATTCTAGATTCAAATGTTGCAAGATATTGAAAATGGCATCACCTGTACTTTTTGCACTCTGAAATCCAATACTTCAATAGCACCCTGTGTAGATAGACAGTTGAATCATTTTATATTTCATTAACAACACTATTGATTATCCTCGGTCGAGATAAATACAAAGAGAAACAATAATTTCATTATCTGACAATTACTACCTGTTAAGCTAATTGTATAATAAGGTAATTACGCATGTATAAGTTAACACGATTATTATATCAATTCGATTGTTAAAGTATTTGCTATACCAGGTATATGATTTGCATAATAACATCCAGTCCGGATATAATAATAATTGTGATGATCTTGAAGAGAAAATTCGACATACTTTTCGAAATATTTCACGCATTGTATGCAAAATAATTAAGGAGAATTTGCATCAGGTGAGGTGAGCAATACAGTATCCTTTTTTCGTGTTGATGATTAAGCAATGCGAAATGTTCTCAACAAGGTGCGGTAGAATGTATGATCCTCTACGGTATGATCTGTGTCAAAAAAACCGTTATTATGGTTCAAGATTCCAGAATTCTTCTTTGAAGTCAGTGCTGTAGCAGGTGGATTAGTTATATTGAATGTTGATATTCCTGATTCAATATTGTTCACTTCAGGAAGGGGTGAAACAACCCACAGTCAAAACTACACCACATTAACAATTTAATAATGACCAATGCTCGTGGACATAAGGACATGTTTCGAAGAAACAATCCATCATCATCAGTAACATTTATTGAAAGATAATCTGTGAGATGAAACAACGCGCATGTAAGTTTTTAAGTATTGATTAAAAATCTGAATGTAATTACTATTATTGGTGGAAAAAGATTACTTCCCTAATAACGTCCTAGGGACGTCCCTATTTGGTATAATTCACGTCCGAATGTCCCGAACCAAAAATAAGTGTCCTTAGGACGTCCCATCCCGTACATCTCATGCAATGTCCATGCAAGGACGTCCTTGGCATGTCCCTGATGGGATATGATTTTAAACGTTCCTTCAGGAACATCCATCGGATGTCCCGAGTAGTACATATTCTGGCATGACTTCATATCTTATAAAATGTTCCTTCTAGACAACCATGAAATGTCCCTGATGGTACATCAATTCAAATATCTCTGCACAGACGCCCTCAATATTTCCAGGATCGTATAACAATCGAAATATCCCTTAGGTACATCCTTCGAATGTCCCTTAGGGATATCCGTCGGATGTCCCAATTGGTACATGAACTGTACTCTTCCAATGTCCTAGAAATAACGTCCTATATGAACGCCCCAGTCGATACTTCCAATATGTTGTCTCTGCGAGGAAAAATTCTGTAGGGGACATTTGTGCGTCCCACAGACGTCCAATGGACGTTCTCGGTACCAAATTCGAACGTCCTATGGACGTCCTGAATGTCCCGACAGGACGTCCCAAGGATATCCATGGGACATAAGTGTGTTATTAGGGTTAAATGACGTGAACAAATTTTTTTAACTCGCATAGTGCGGATGAGTCACTGTTAGAGAACAGACATGATTTCAGCTCTATTGGAGCCCTTTTTTCGAAAATTAATTTGATAAGAAGCAGATAAAAGAAAGAAACCAACATGTGGGCCTGAATTTGTTGAATTAGGTTAACTAATCACAAATAACAATGACGCTGAGGACAAAACACAACATCAGAATAACACCAGTCAAGTAAAAAACAAGGAATGTTTTGATTCGAAGTGACATGAAACACAGAACAGAATTGTAGTCAAAATAATAAGGAGTTGAATAATTTAAGATTATCGAATTGAGCTTGTTCATTGAGGCAGTTGAGGTTGGAGTTTGTGACAGCTTCATCAATTTCCAGGGTTTCAAGGAGGTTGAGTTTTTCTCCTTCGTCACAGATATGTGAAATTTCTATGTTAGAATTTGAATCCAATCCGTCCAAGAAATTTTCTTCGGGTTTTCTTATATTGTTTCAAGAAGTTTGATATTATATTTCGAGAATTATCTTCATTTCCAATGATTAATTGATGTGTTTCATTCCTGAAGTCGAGATATTTTGAAAACTGAATTTTCAAGGAATTTTTCGAATCACTCTGAATTCTCAAAACAAGAGGAATATACTGATCGATGAGGGGATACGAGAGGAATGAAAATTCATCCCCCATTCTGATTTACAGAGATATCATCAAAACAATATACCAGTTCAAAATTCAATCAATCTCATTGCAACAAAAAATGTAAAATGTTTCAGGACATCACATCACTCTTCAGGATCATGGAGAAAGGGATCATCTGTGTGATCATTCAAATGACTAAGATACGATCGAAGATCTCTAACATGGTACACATTGCCATTTTCAAAAACAATTTGGAGTATGTATAGAACTCTAGAAATCACCCTGTATTGATAGGTGAATTAGTCTAAAGTGCTTTTCATTTTCAATGAGTAACATAAATGTGAAAATGTTGAGAAATAAAACACAGTAATTTTGTGACTTCTTATTCTTATCAAACAAATCATATTACCAGAACAGTATGATCGATCAATGAAAATAAAATACCACTTCGAGGAAAAGACATATTTTTCATTCTCATTCTCATTTTTTCGTTTCACAAAAACATGAAATATAAACACCGTATAGAAATCGGTGAATTTTTCCAAAGAAGTCATGATCTTACTAATCTGGCCAAAAATTTCAGTTGTCCCACTTCAATTGTGGGGCACTGTAGATTCATATCTGTAGATCCTCCTCAGTTCTAGGCAACGATAAATATAAATTATAAATGAATATTTCGATACATAACAGATGCAATTCTCTCGTTGAAAAAAATAGTTAAAAATCGAATGAGATGAGCTGATTTGCAAAAATTAAATCAAGCATAGGTATGCTCACACTAATTAGCAAATCGGAATATGTTAATGTATATAACTGTTTTGAAAAAACCATGTCACAGCTTTGAGAACAGTTGATGTTGAATCATTCATGAATAATCAGAAGCTACCTCTTCACATTCCATTGTATAGTGAAAATGGAGCGTTTTGAGAAACGGGAATTTTAAAATATTTTGGAAGAATTATCATCATTATAAAACACGATCGCAATTTTTCTTCAAATTTTTTTGTGATAATGACTTTTTTATGCTCAGCAGGTGGAAATAAGTATAGAAAAATATACATATCTACCTATCAGACTGTTGACCAAATATAATGAGTAAAAGTAGTGAAAGTGAATGAAATATACGTGATTTTATTTCAGGGTCAATCATACGAGAATCATGTTCATGTCACACTTGAAATATCATCATTTTGATTATCCTCGGCGAATTATGACTATAATTGATGTGATCGTGAAATCAAAAGTAATATTCAAATTGAGATTATATGGTGATGAGAACTCCAGTGATGAATAAATATTCAAAACTCCTCATAAAAACTCCTTTTTTTTAGTAGGTTGCATAATTCTATGATCATTGAGAACAGAGTCGACAATCTTGAATATCAAACAAGAAATCAATCAAACCAAGTCACGTTCTTTGTCATTTAATTATCAAATAATCTTAAACATCCTACATCAGTGCGGAAAAATAAATTAAATAAATTACTTAAAAAAATTATGCTATCTTCCTTCAACTCGATTTGGGTTCGTACGCACTGTACGCCAACTTCTGAGCCTCCTCTTTCTCGTAGGACCTTCCCCATCCCGAACCGGAATGTCCACCTCCGTAAACCTCCACGTGACTAGCATCATGTCCGCTACTTCCACCTCCAGAAAGCAGCTTCTTGATCCCAATAATACCAGCCAGAACCAGAGCCAACTTCGAAACTATCAGCGCCTTCCCAGCAAGCAGAGCCAAAGCACCAAGAGCCAAGGGGATCAAAGTTCCTCCAAGAATCAGGGGTAAAAGCAGCAACCCGGAAGATCCTCCTTTCTTGCCTCCTTTACGTTTACGTCCCTCTTCTTCGAATGATCGCTTTAGGTCAGAAGAACTAGGGAGTTTGATCTGTAACAAGGTAAAAGGGGTTGTAGCAAGGTTTTTATGTGGAGGTGGTAGTTTTGCTTACTTGTAGGGTATGGGTACCAATGAAGTTGGAGACTTTCTCAGCTATGATAGAGTCCAAAGCTGTGGACTTCTCGTCCAGGGACCTGGGAAGGGTAGCTTCCAGCTCAGCTTCACTTTTGATTGGCTCCTCAGGTGTCACAGCTTTAGGATCCTTGACGAAGCTAACTCCTTCGAATATGGGCACGTTGCTGTAGGACCTAGCTGCTCTGTCCATAGCGGCGACCAGCTTCAGCTTCAAGCAGGACATGGTGTCTGTGGCGGCGCATTCCTGATACACTTTGTAAACGTACTTGAGGTCACTAAGGTACGAGGTACTGTCTGATCTAGCGGTCTCGTGGACGTCGTTTTGAGTAGTACCCGCGGTGGTACGAGCGAGTGTCACGTGAGCGATTAAAGCGAGCACTAAGCACTTGGAAATCATGTCGGAGCGGGTTTTAAAAAAACTGATATGGGTTCACTTACACTAGTTTACTTTTATAGTCGGTCGATGGATATTTGGGACCCCACTCTTGCGGTGGTAGACTATGCGTGGACCCCTACTTCTTCTTCTTGTATTCTTAGCATTGACCGTTTGGAAAAAAAACGAGAATGAATATCTAGCAGGCGCGTGTCGTCATGTTGAGTGGGTAAATGATATCGTCACGTTCGAGGTATGGAAATGCAGCAATTGTGGAAGTAGACCAGATCCCGTTGCGTGGTGTGTGCAGCTTTCGTTGGTTCGCAATTTTTTTTCTGCGATGTAGTGCGAACTGCTTGAATGAAGTTCCGGATATTCACTGGTGTGAATATATGCGGATAGCAGACAGGGTCGACCTTCAGAAGGTTCAGGTCAATCCAAATTGAAAAGCTATGAAACTAAACAGGGTGTTACATGGGAATCTACACTGTTGAAAATGAGTTGGCACTTTCAACAACTTCCATTGTTTTAGAAAACATTTTGATGAATTCATCATCATTTTTATGATACTCCTGCTACTATAACTTCCGAACATGTTGTCAATGGTATCAGTGAATTTGCAAGTTTATATTGATGAAACTACTGTAAGGCTTTTCTATAATAGTAGTAAAAAAGCTATCTCAAGTGACAAGATATATGTTATTTTTCTTGTTGTGATTTTATCAAGAACAGATAGTTTCTATATCGATGAAAATTTTTTGAAATCGTTGAAATGACAATAAACAATGGTAGATAGTAAAATTAGCAGTTGCGATTATTTCCATATATTGAATCTGATATACCTACCTTCACATAATTGTTAATACATTATTATTTGATTGCTATTTTTCTAGATTATGTTGAAGATTCGTAAACATCTTTCTTAATTTCAATTATCCCTCCTATTGTAAAATTTCATAGATATCGACTTAGAAGTGTTCAAAATGAGTCAATTTCGTTCACACCAGGATGTGAATGTATCGATAATTCTGCTGACCTTTGCTAGTAAAATATCAATTTCAGGACCAGCTACTGTAATTGTGGTGTCATCTGCAAACATAGTTTAATGACAATCTGTTACGTGTTCAGGCAAGTCGTTAGCAAATAACACAAAAAGTAGTGGTCCCAGCACTGACCCTTGCGGAACACCTAATCTCACATCGTGCTCACTCGATGTGACAGAATCATGTTTTACGGTCATACAACGTCCCTCCATATATGACTTTAGCCAAATCAACAAATTATTAGGAAATCCTAGCACAGCTAATTTATAATTCAAAAACTCGGAAGACACCGTGTCAAAGGCCTTTGACAGGTCAAAAAATAGACTGATTATGAAATTGTTCGAATCTATTTCTGAGTATACAAAATTTAGAAAGTCATATGTTGCGGTTTCTACAGAATGATTTCTCCTAAAACCATACATAATAGGTTATTTTTTCCATATGATTCATTATCCTATTTGCCACTACCTTTTCAAACAACTTGGAGAGTGAGCAGAGCAAAGAAATTTGTCTGTAATTATCTATCTCATTTTTGTATATATTGAAAAGTTAGGTACTTATATATATTTCAATGTACATGTGGAATATGTCGCTTAATTTCAATTGTTTCAATAGTGTTTGAAACTAATATTTACTCATGTGAATGTTTCATATCATTTTTAAATTCATGATGTATCAACTTATTGATAATTTCAGAAGTTCTTCTTCACGTATTTCTCAGACCAAAATATTCTACCACCTTTGTGAATAATTATGGAATACTCTGTTGAAATAGATTCATCTATCTAGCTATCTATCGATATATCTATCTATCATTGTATTTTTCTTCAATTTTCGATGCCATGAATTAAGTGTATAAATACAGAGTGTTTCTGAATGGAACCCTATACACTCGATGAATTCCATATAATTTCCAATGGGTCATTAATGGGGGAGACCACTGATTTTTTGAAATGGCATTATCGTGAGCTGTATACTGAAAAACTACCAGTGAATTAATTTTGAATTTTTTCATTCATGCTAAGACGATGAAAAATATAAATTAGAATATGTCCATTTCAAAACACATAATTCCTGCGCCATTTGACATTTTGTCAATTCATTGGTGAGACTGGTGCGACGTCTTAGTCCCAACACGCCTGTTGTCCTTGAACTCACCAATCACACTGCAACACTGCAGTATGACGAGGTATCAGACAGAGACAGCTACAGTGCGGGACTAATACGTCACGGCTCCACCATCATATTCGGCTTTTCGAATTAACGAATAAAATATGCTGATTTCATCAAAACGATATAGATTCGATTCCCTTCAACTTCAACTCATAATATTGATTGTAGATCAAACGTGAATCATGATTCGTCAATTGAAAGAGGTTTTTACGGATTTCTTCCCTCAGTGGTCTTCCCCATTGTAACTTATTGTTATGAAATTGTTCTGAAACAATTTTTGTCAAAAATACGAGTTGTAAACCTTCATCAAGCTTGGCTTCAAGGTTCACCCCGCGGAAGAAAAAACAGCGTCAGAAATTTGTAATACTCCGCTTTTATTTTTTATGGTCGCTTTTTTCATTTGGGGCAAGAAAATCGCTCTCCTGCTGCGAAGCTCTAACTAATATAAAAAGGAATTCCGTGCTTCTCTCTAGAGAAAAGAACCGACTTGGAAGAGTCGTAGAGTTCATATAGTAATCTGTGGCCAGCTCGAAAGTAGGTGAAGGTTTAGGGCACGTGTGGGAACGAAAAGTTGACTAACGCTGCTTGATGCCATCGAAGAAGGTCCGGATTAACCATCTAAGATTCTTTTCAGAACCGGACCAGCTGAAATGTTCTACACTAGGGAAAAAATGAGCGAAATTTCACTCAAGGTCCACGCCCGATTCAGTTGAATTATCACCCTACTTGACTGTATAAAATGGTAATTTATGAGCCGATTCAATCAAATTTGTTGTAAACATTCTCGGTGATAGGGAAACTTGATGATCTATCTAGTTTGATACTGTCTGTACATTCATTTTACTTGATTTTTGGGATTTTTTCTCCTCGTTTCTATAAAATAAAAATATGCGTATAATTTCAATATATTTGTAGTGGGACAAATCAGATGATTTGCCCCAAAATGTCACTGCGTTTCACAATTTTTTTTATCAGGAAGCCTAAAAGAAGAATCCAATAGCTTGTCAGTGACAGTATGTTTGAAATGGTAGATTCAAGATCAATTTATGAAAACATCCTGTAACTCATTTGTCGACTAAAATCACTCATTCATATGCCAAGATCAGTATGACATTGAAAAGTGTCAAACTATAAGCAGCACAACTTCCAAATAGAGATATTTTGCATTTTTATGTTGAGAACGGGAGCAGATTTGGTCCCGTAACGTCCAAAGATAAATAAAAATTCGATATTTCTTCAATAATCTTTCTTTCCTTCAAACATTAAATTGTCACTGGCAAGCTACTGTGGATATTTCTTTTAGGCTTCATGAAAAATTTGTTAAATGCAGTGACAAATATATTGAAATAATACGCATATTTTTATTTTATAGAAACTAGGGGAGAAAATCCCAAAAAATCAAGTAAAATGTATCTAGTTTGAGTTGAGAATTCACTCTGAAATTTTAATCAGTAAATTCACTCACAACCACATATGCAGTCACTGAAATGAATTTTCTACAGTGTAGGTATGACTCTCTTGGAAAAAGGTCCTTTGGGTGGATTTTCTAAAAATGGTGCATTTTCAATTTCAATATAATGACAGTCTTTCGTTAATCATCATGTTTGGTGAAATGAATATAATGAATATAATTTTCATCTGCCGATCTACAGGGTGTATACATATAAATAACAGCGAAAAAATTCGAGGGGAGATTCCCTGTGATATGTCAGGAAATAATGTTCATATGAACTTGTGTCCTAGCTTGCTTCGTTTTCGAGATACATGATATTGATATTTTCATCTAAAATCTTTTTTCTATTCATTTCTCAATTGTATTATCATCAATTTCAATGAAATGACTCGTATAAACCGATTCAAAGTTCCTGAATGCCAATTGATTTCGATTTACCCAGGCCATGTTAGACACCTACAGACCGGTTTCGAGCTCTTTGACTCTCATCAGTGCAGGAAAGTCTCTAGTCAGCAGTTCTAAGACCGTCGACTAAGCGTTGCCTAGTCAAACAAAAATCAAGTCGGCATTATATTCTCCCATAGGCGTCTTTCATAGACAATATGAAAGCAACACCATCTGAGTAGAAAAGAAGGAGAGAAACACTCCAAAACTACAAAATCGGTCAACCAGCCACTTCCATATGGAAATTTCAGTTTGAAGGTGTTTTCTTCCTTCTTTTAACTCAGTTGGCGTTGCTCTTATATTGTCTATGAAAGACGCCTATGGGGAATATAATGCCGACTTGATTTTTGTTTGGCTAGGCTACGCTTAGTCAGCGGTCTTAGGACTGCTGGCTGGAGACTGCCCTGCACTGATGAGGGTCAGAGAGCTCGAAACCGGTCTGTAGGTGTCAAGCGTGGCCTGGCTGAATCGAAATCAATAGGTATTCAGGAAAGAATCACTGGTATCAGTATTCGTTTATACGAGTCGATGCATAGATATCGGGAGGATGTAGTTCAATGTTCAGCGTGGCATTATCGAGGCAAGTAGTTGTTTTTCTCCCGAAATTTACACTGAGGAAAAAAATTTGTAGCCGTTACTAAAAAATTAGTAACTACAGAAAAATTTTTTAGTACGATAGGGGACAGCAAGCATTAGTTGTTGCCATAACTAATTCTGTTTTTCTGGAAACGCCTATTTGCCTCAAATGAAAAGTTTAGTTGAGTCATCTACGACGTTGTTGTGGTAACTAATAAGCCTTTTTAAGGAATAATACCAAGTTTTATTTGCCACAATCAAGATACATAGTTATGACAATTAGATTGTTAGTACTGTTTCAATATATGTTTGTTATCACAACAAATTATCCCAGTTGGGGCAATTACTCATTTCTTCTGACGTTAATAGTGAGTGTGTTGTGGTGAATTAAATATTCAATTGTGACTGAAATGAAATCTAGTTACTATTAAAAGTGATTTAGTGTCATTTTCCTTTCAATTTCCAATGGAATCGTGAACAGGAATACACCACACACCGTAAGTGCCACAGAAAGAGAGGGAATT